AACATTCCGAGACATGTCCGGTCGCTTGAAACTTAGATAAAACAATACGATTGCAACATTATGGCGATGTCTACCTATTGGAGACAATAATAAAATTCTCATGTTTAACGGTATTTAAATTATGGAAGATTTTATGTTCTGGTAACCTTTCAGGCGAGTCTAATATTTCTTCTTACATTCTGTTTTATTATGAAAAATGATATGAAGCGAAATGATATAAAGTTGATTAATTTGAGAGTTTAATCAATTTGGATGAAATTAAGTAAATGGAACAAAATGAGATGGGATGAAATGTGGTCTTAGTAAAATTGTGACTATTTATTGAGATTTTTTGAAGGAACCTGTGAAGTTTCGTCCAGCGCTTTTATTTAATTTTCCCACATTTGTGCATTTTCATTGATACCAAACAGTTAATAAACTACTATTATTACACATTTATTAAACCTGAATAACACTAAATTAACAATAGGTATATATCAATTTGCACAACTTCGCTTCTCGCGTTGCCGTGAAATTGTCCATTACTATTATAATTCCAAAACATATTCTACGAACGTCTAAGGTTGTTTTTTTAAAAAAATACATGTTCTATTTCATAGATTTAGTAGTTAAGTTAATAAGGAGTAATTATGTGCCTACTTCCTATAGACTCATCTAATCTTGTTATACTTACTTAATTGTATTTTTTTGACTTGTTTTTTCTTTTATTGTGAATATTTCTATTTATTTAAAAAAAAGAAAATATTTGAGAAAAAACAAAAAAAAAAGCCCGCTGAGTTTGTTTCGCCGGTTCTTCTCAGGACTGTGGCTTTTTTTGGAACCGGTGGTAGAGTTAACATTGTTATTTGTATTTTGACATTCAACAAGTGTGTCATACTGACACCTAAGTTGAAATAAATGATTTTGAATTTGAATTTGAATTTCTCGTACTAATTCTTAAATATCTTAGTCATAAAAAAGTCTATTTAAAAAACTGCAGTAGTTTTTAAGCACTTGTTTGTTTTTTCTTTTAGTCACAGTGTACAAAAAGCTTTCCAATGCCACAGCTGTGGAAAACTGTTATGTTGAAATTTTCTTATTGGTTATTTCAACGCAATAAATGATATCTAAAGCATTACACCAACTAAATAATCGAGATGGAGCCGAATAAAGATCGTGAACATAAATGTTTGTTTGAAGAGACGTTAGGTATTTCCTTGTGCAATTTTATTATTTGTATTTTGTTACAATCGGATCAGATTCGTTAAATACTTAGATTCATGTTTTAATTCATTATGTCAATCTTAAAAACCAATAACGCGAATGTCAATCGTTTTTACCAAGTTTAGATTTACACGCCGCGGTTGTCAACTAAAAATTTGCAAGCTCAAAAGCGTATGTTACCGAGCAACACTTCCGGCCTCACATAATAAAATATTTACGAACTTGGGAAATATATAGAACTTATTATTGTCTTATAATATAATTAGTAATTTCATAATCAAGTAAATAGTTCATTCATATTTCTTTATACTTATAATATTTTATTGGCACCTTCAGCTTGACAGCTTCCGGCGCAATAAACCTTACGGCGCAATGGGCATTAATGTTATTTATGTTACATAATTCGATATTATTAAATAATAATTGTACGTAAATAATCAGCAGAATAATTAAGATGAACAATGTTTAATATTACCTACTAAGTTTGTATTAAAATAGGTCGATTGTATAAATACCGGCGGTTAGCATATCTCTGTTACATTCGTATTCTACCCACCGTAACGTGTACAAAAGAGAATATATTATTTCGTGTGGATGTAAATTGTCTCAATTGTCGCCACCACCCTGAGGATCCGTTTATACGTAATTTATGATAATAAACTATAATGCAACCTAACGGGAAAAAACTGAAAGTTCTTTGTTTTATTTAAAATTTTATTGGCTATAGCGACGCCCTCGCTTCGCTTCGGAAACTTTAAATGTTATTATTGATAGGCGAAGCCCGCCATGTTGGGCGCGGTACGACAATAACTGCGGGTGACGCCGCGGAGCGAAGCTAGTCTAAATAAAGTAGCCTACGTTACTCCTTATATCATCAGCTACCTATTAGTGAAAGTCTCATTAAAATCGGTCCAGCCGTTCCAGAAATTAGTCGGAACAAACAGACAGGCAGACAGACAAAAATTGTAAAAAATGTTATTTTGGTGTATTTACCGTATATATAGGTATATTCATATGCGTGTAGTAAAAAGCGGTTATTTCAATACTACAAACAGACACTCTAATTTTATTTATATGTATAGATGTATTATCTTCGAGGCATTTGCGAAAAGGCCTCTCAAACTGTGGCAAGAGAACAAGAAACCTTATTAAATATTCAAACTATTGAATAGCATGTTGAATATCAGCACTACAGAAACAAATTTGTATAATAATCACTTACATTGTTATATCTTATAAACTGGTTTTTATTTAGTGCAAGGGCATATGCTGTTTGTATTGACAGATATGCTGGTGTTTGACTGGTGTAAATTCTCAAAGCGACGGCTAATTATTAAATTGTTAATGTCAACTATTGGCAAGTAAATATGGTACTTCGGGCTCCATGAGCAAGTGAACCAGAAGCAATTCGTCTTCGTCTAAGTAAATAATACTTTAAGTATTGGTTTTTCGTAACAGCAAATCTAAATCGTTTGAAATTGTAGTATAATAATATAGTGTATAGTTACAATAATCCTTTGAACTAAAATATCTAGGCTACTTCTCCTTTGCTGTATATTCAGACCAGTTTTCCTCTTGTTAAATGAACATCGGAGCTAATACACACCACACTGTTAATGTCACCTAATCTGTGACAAACAGTCTTTATAAATTGTATCCTACTTGGCCTTCAAAGAACAACACAGAACTGCTTTACGTAAAAACAGTCTATCATGGTAACTACTCGTGCGGATTCACGATACAAACTCTTGACAGAGCGGTTGTGGTGTGTAGGTAGGATTGTTGTCGGACATATTGCGTCGCAGAACTTCTCACCAACTCTCCAGTTCTGCAGTAACTGGTGCATTGATGTAGTAAGATCTAGTAAGACACTCATAGGGTGTTTTACCGGATATGTCTGCCATCACCTTGAAAAACCTTTATATGAGACTTTTAACTAGGTCTTCTCCCCGCTTCTGGTGAGTCTGGTACACTCATGTAAACAACAGCCAACCGCCGACTTGGTCGGTCCATCAACTGGGCAACCTTCCACGCAGTCTGGTACCTTCTACTTTGCCCTGAACGACAAGGCGCTCTATGGAGTCATTTCCTCTCCAGAGATAAGTCCAAAAAATAATAGTATGTGCCCATGCATGAGCGCCGATTTAGCCGATTACTTATATTGAGGGCTTTGTATTGTACTATACTATGTAAATGATTCATTAATTCGGAATTCCCAAATATAGGTAAGATCCATGTTATCTGTGGTATTGGTTAAATATTTATTAGGCAAGAACAAAATTCTCGTTGTTTGCACAATTGCCCGTATTTAGCTCGAGAATTCTAGTGAGAATGTTAAATCAATTCTGTTTGCGGTCGGTGAACTGGTCACCAAAACGGTTATGTTAGCTCTTCGAACACGTGACTCAAGCTCATAAGTGCCTACGTGTTCTTGTAATGTAGGTAAATATGACAGTTTTCTGTAGAAGTTCAAGTTTTGACACGTACTTCTTAATTGCTTTTACCATTATCTACCTGTTTAATAAAACTTAATACTAGCTGACTGATATACAATTCTCCGATAAAGCCTGAGCGCACGCATACTATACTTTCTTGGCGGTTTGCAGACATTTGTCTGCAGAAACGAATATTGTATTTGCATTTAAGCTCCGCAAACTACCAATATCTTGACGCTTTCTTAATACTTTATGATACTTTAAAGCTGCTGATCCATAAAAAGGTAATGCTAGTTAGGATGTACGGCCAACTAATACATACCAGTAGTTTTTTTCTCTATTTTCATTACATTAATTGTAAAAACGAGGACTTATTAATGTTATCCAAAACGAAAAACTTTATGGTTAAACTCGTGGTTCGGTGGACTAAAGGTGATGGCAAAAATGATGTCCAATCGGAAACTACGAAATAAAAGTAGAATTAATATTTTTGAAAATTACCTTTGCACTGTCACTCCTTATGGCTTGATAAAAATGCAATTATTACAGATTTTCATAGTAATAAGCAGGTACTAGGGCACCCATATGTACCTACTTGATTTCTATAAGAAGGATGTGAGTGAGTGTCTAGCACCCAACAATCAAAAAATTCACGGGGAGATCAACAGTTTGGATTATCATTACCCAACTCGAGCCGACGTAGGCTCCATTTATTATTAAAATTATATAAATGTGCAAGGACAAATGTTCGGTATTTTTCCGAACAGTTTTTTTTTTGTCTTTGGTCGATTTTTTTGCTTGCTTACTATTGACGACCTTTAAGTCTATAAAAAACATTTGGAAACCGTTATTTTTTTTACAAGGCAACAATTTCGTAATATTATAAAAAAGAAAACGTTGTGCATGATATGAGTCTTGAGTTGCCAATAGTTACAGTCGATTTTTGACTAATCGGCGAACACTGCGTCTACATTTGTATCGTTCAATGCGCTTAACATTGAATGAGAGCCTATAGAATATTTAAAATCATAATGCAATATTATCATTAGTGATTGTCATCAAGGTTCATTGACCGCGGGAATAGTTTGCCATTTCACCAATTAAATACTTTGTTAGACATTTACAAATATTTATTTTCGGCTCAAGAAGTATATGTATAAGATTTTGCAAGGACTTAAATGAAATTCATTAAACAGCCTATTTTTCTATTACAATCTTTACTATTTTCAAAATATAAACAACGCTAAGTTTATGTTATGTAAGTAAAATAATAGTATTGTAAATATTTGTCCTTGAGTACGACGTATCAACTTTTGTATTTCTATCTTTTGAATTAAAGTCATAACATTTTTAACTACTCACCGAAAGAGGATGATAGTGACAAATTCACCTGTCTATTTGAAGCGGAGGCTGCGTCCTTAACGCCCCTGGAATGTAACACCTGCTTCCACAACTACACTCACAGATCCTGGTTGTTAATCACTAAGTACGAGCCTTAAAGTATTACAAAAATCACGTTCACCGCTATTACAGGGTAAAGTCACAAGCACAATTATTTTTTTGTTGATATTTATTTAATAAATACGTAAACAAGTCCACGAACTTTATTTAAAATTATTATTATAATTCAATCGCCACGCTTAAACGACGCGACAGCCAAACGCGACGCTTTACTCTTTGTCCGAGTCCCCCGTGTCGCTTCGGTCGACGAACGAATACGAGTGAATAGTTCGCCCGTCGCCGCGCCGTCCGCCGGCCGGTGAATCGCTTCGAGGCGAGGCATCGGGGCTGCCAGATTAAAAACCTATATTGTATGCAATTCACCCTTCGATCAAGAATTCACCTTACACCCAATGCTTTTGTAGAGAAAACGAAATTGTTTATCTATACTAATATATAAATCTACAGTGGTTTTATAGGTGTTCAGTTATAACTACTGAACCATGTATCCGATTGACTTGAAACTTGGTATCCATGTAGAAAATACAATATGTAGTTAATGGATAGGCTAATATGTATATTCTTATTAAATTTTTTTTTATTGCTTAGATGAGTGGACGATCTCACAGCCCACCTGGTGTTAAGTGGTTACTGGAGCCCATAGACATCTACGACGTAAATGCGCCACCCACCTTGAGATATAAGTTCTAAGATATCAGTATAGTTACAACGGCTGCCCCACCCTTCAAACCGAAACGCATTACTGCTTCACGGCAGAAATAGGCAGGGTGGTGGTACCTACCCGCGCGGACTCACAAGAGGTCCTACCACCAGTAAATTATTGGTAAAGTGTTGGACTCCCTAATAATAATGACAATAAATAATAATGTTAATTTTAGATGCTCAGGGTACGGCTATATAACTACATATATATATATAAAATAAGATTTGACGTAAGATAATAAAGTACAATACAGTAAGATAATGTGTATGCATTGTTTAAACTGATTTGAGGCCGTCAACGCAAAAGTGGCCTAAGCTTACGATAGTTATTTCGTAAGCAATAAGGTTTAAGTTTTCATGAACTTCAATTTGAGTAGGCAAAAAAACAATACGCGCAAAAATTATGTTTACTAACCCATCTGTTATCTATAGGTGAAACTATGGATAGGCCAGTTTTGCATAAAAAATTATTATTTAATTTTTTAAATAAATTGCAATATACATATAAGCATGATTATGAAAAATTGTAAGTTAGGCCACTTTTGCGCTGACGGCCTCATTTATCAACGTTCGGGCGAAGCTGTTGAGCCTGAAAACGACCTGACATCAAGTGTACCATGAGCTCATCAACCGATCAAACCCAATAAAAAACTTAAAATTGTGTTTTTAAAGTCGTTCGTAATATTTTCTGGAAGACCAAACGAGCTCATAAACATTACGTGTTCGCCGCCACGCATGAATCTTGAGATCGAAATCTCATTTGTACCAGAGCTAAAAGAGGCAGGTTGGTTGGTGTGTTGGTTCTTTTATCTAAATTATACATTATATAATTTTACACTTTTGGTTCGTATAGGGAGCTTAGCGACTGCGAAAACTAAACTGTTAAACTTGTTTTTATTCATTATTACTTAAAACGACATTCAAGCTGCCAATGAGTTTGCCAGAAAGTCCTCATTTCACGCAGCAATGAAGCAGCAGATATTCATAAATTTTTTCAGAGATACATCAGTTAAAATGGACAACAAAATACATTGTCTGGATTTTATTACCTTTGTACGTTTAAAGTTAGAAAAGTTTAATTATTTAGACTTCCTTTAGATGTTTAATAGCTATTGATAACTTTAAAGCGCATTTATTTTTAAACTGGGAATATAAGACTGTTACATAGAGTACTTAATACTGATATTTCTTTGTTAAGTTAATATTCGTGTTTTTGCTTGTAAAAACAAACCTACATTACTGTTCCTTTTATTTGTTATGACTCCTACATTAAAGTATGAAATTAACCATCTGTTGTTTTTTCTCCGGTTAAGCCGTCAAGAAGAAAAAAGCAGGATAGTGGCACTCCAGGCTCACAGTACGCCGCATCACTAACCTGTTTCGATCTGGAATCAAGCCTGGAGCTACTAAGCCGACGAGGTAACTTACTGACAATATATTATGAGATACACTCTAGACGTCTGTTTAAATTAATATCACGTGGTGCCCGATTAAGAAACCGCCTGTTGCCTTAGAGCTTCGATTTTGAAGCATCATTTGCCCGCGCACGTACTCACTCACGAACGGATTGGCGGACTAACCTAAAACTTCCTGTGAAATACCGATGAGGTCTTACGTACCCACATTAATACTTATAAAAAAATGTACCCGCTCCACTACTATATATTGTCTGCATTAATCAGTGTGCTTAGTGCGAGTTTTTTAACGCCCTCGATACCTAGCGTAAAAGTAGCAAACTCAATTTGTCTGTAGTTGAAACAGCGCCCCAAGCGGCAAACGTAGGCAAAATTTCCAACTCCATACATATTTGAGATAACTTTCACGCTATCGAGAACGTTAAAAAACTCGTACTAAGCACACAGGAGTTACCGAGTACCCACTCAATAATGTAAACATTGTAATATGTTTTGCACAGTATATTTTTCCTATAAAAAACCTCGTTGCAATTAAACGTGAAGGATAGTGAATTTGAAAAACTGCAGGTTACATGCGTCTCTATAGTATTTGAGTCGACTATTATCAAAGCCGGCAATGTGACTTTTGGACAATTATTAGTAAATCAGAAAAACGAATTATTGACTTTGTATTCCATTGGCAGTCACAAAACTCTTCTGAACGACATCTTAGATAAATAACAGGTTAAGAATTAACCTTTATTTAATGCAGGTTTTGAACCGTATTCTTTGAAGGAGACGATTATATTCAAATCAATCTGTATTGACATATCAATAAAACTTTTTTGTCCAAATGCACAGATTGCCACCTTTGATAATAGACGACTCATTTGAGAATACTCATACGGAGTATTTGGTTAATTTGGTAATGAATACGTTAAAAGGAACCATCAGCATTACATTGAAGCAAAATAATGTTTTTTTTTTATATATTCTCGTACTTACCTTTAAGAGAATTTACTTAACGTAATGATGTCCCTGGAATGTATGGTATTAATATTTCGTATTTTCTTTTTGCAGTCTTGCTATATTATTTAATATCTTGAACGCAAGTTTATGATTTGCGCTCCTGATGTTTACCGGCAAAACATTTACACACGTTCGGATACATGCTTGATTTTATTCCAATTATTGTGAATTTTGGATTAACTTGTATCTTTTGGCTTTCTTATTAAATTAGATTAGTTAGTATTTTACGATACAGATTTCATATTGAGTTTGGTACTTTTGCAGCTGTGAGCAATTATCATAATTTCATTCCGCATAAGTAGCTTTATTAAGAACACAAACTTGACATTACAGTTCAATGTATGCTTAGCGTAGGGATGACATAAAATTATGTATTGATGAAAAAAATAGATTTGGGTATTTTGAGTTGATAAATAAAAAGAAGAACTCCAAACTACGCGCGTGCGTAAGTATACCCGAGCACTTTTTTTGGCGTAGATATGCAGAGTAGCTTACTGTCTGAAGGATTTTAAATACTTAGCAGATCCCTTAAACTAACACCACCGCTCATTTTCAGACATGGAATATCTTTTTGGTTAGTTGATACACGTGAAACGTAATATTTTTTCATTTATTATGTATTACCCTTGGGGGCAGATGAGCATACAACCCACCTGATGATGAGCGGCTAATGTGGCTCTTACCGTAGCTCATGAACGACAACAATGCCAGGGGCAGAGATAAGCCAGTGCCTACCGCTAAGTTATCTCCGCAGGCCTCGTTTGCAGAAAGATATGTCATAGCGCTTGGTAAACACCATAGAGGTGAGTCTATTACAAAACTGAATGGTACGTACCTACCAGAAAAGATCTCTGGAAACGTACTGTGGATAAACGCAAAGGTTCTAGGTAATATGGAAGAATAATACTCCGGTGACGAGCGGTGTGATAATCATCTCAAGTAATTGTTCAGACCACTTTGCTTAAGGACCCCAGTCTAGAGGTGAGAGTAGTACTTCACGCGATGCTGGACTATTGCTTTGTAAAGCAAACGTCTTTATCCAGGTGCGACGTATCCCTTTGATCTTGAGGACCGCAGAATTTATGCCGCCAATTTTGATTTGCCCCGCAAATAGCTCCGATACCGGACATCGCTCGAAGCTTCAACTCCCAGTATCCCAATATGCGTGAAAGGTCGATATAGGTTACTATACTTGAGACCTTAGAACTTATATCTCAAGGTGGGTGGCGCATTTACGTTGTGGATGTCTATGGGCTCCAGTAGCCACTTAACGCTAGGTGGGCTGTAAGCTCGTCCACTCATCTAAGCAATAAACAATAAATAAATAAAAAAGGCTGCAGGGACACTCGTTAGGATTGCGGCACCATGACAAAAGCGTATTTCTTTGCAGTAGACGTGCAAAGCTATCGCTTTAACGAATTGAATTGAACTAAGTTCAATCAAAGGGTGAATTCAACTAAGTTCTACAGGAGACTGACCCCAGTGATTTTTTCACTTCTGACACAAAATTTGGTCATCTCACCTGCACCGCGCTTCTATTCGAAGAGAGACTGATAGTCGATATATCGCGCATCCTCAAATCATCTCACACAATATGTAGTTAAAAGATGTAAAATAATGAAATAACATTTTATTCCTAACACTGATTTCATTGCCGCCCTAATACCATCGATGATTGACATTAATTTTTAAAATATTCATCAATTTCTACAACATTTCGACCAATTTAAAAGGTGAAAGTTCATAAAACGCCAAAGACCACGAATTGATGAAATTAAATTTGTTTGTACTGTGCCATAATTTTATTAACCTTTATTGTGTTACATTTAATCATTGCGTTGCTTTTAATAGAGGATAACGAAAATCGCAATTTGATAGAAAATACTACATCAATATACTACTATGTATTACATAATTGTCATGAATGGCACGTACTATATTACAAATATACAGGATTAAAAGCTAAATTCATAATTCTAATATCACTTTTATTTGTTAATGATATAGTAAATATTGTAGCAGCGAAATCGCCAGAATATTCTGAAGGTTGGAGATTTTATCTGAAACAGAAACATAAGTATTTTGATAAACATGTATTAAATTACTTACTGGAATATATAGATGTGAACTTACACAATGAACATGAAGCTTTATCTTGAACTGAAGGTGCCTGATATTCATCAGTTGCTTCTAGAAACTGATAAATGGCTTTAAATCCAGCTCCATCCAATCTATCATTGGAACGAAAAGTTACTTTGAAGAAATTCCTTTCGGATTCAACATGGAATTCTTTCATTTGACCACAATATCTGCCGTATCTATTGTCTTCAGTCATGTAATTAGAAAATTCGACGTAATCACTTGCCGATACAGCTTCACAGCTGAAATTATGAAGATTTTAAATGAAAAAACTATTGAGAATTAATTACAATAAATTAGCAAATAATAAACAACGTCTTACGGCAAAACTCCTTCTACATCGAAATTTGTGAAATGTAGATGCACTTTCTCGGTCTCACCGCCGTGGAAAAAATATGTACATTCTGTATCACGAGGATATGGTCCTGGTGAATTAGGGGATGCAAAGGTACCGTTACGATTTTCTGTACTGTTATATACGAAGGCGCAGGGAAACTCTTTGAGTTGCCTCCCAGATGAAATTCCAAAATCTGTAATGTAGAAGATTTTATATTATATACTATTGCAATCGCTGCCAAAGAATAAAATTGAACATTTTAGGTCATATTCGATATACAATATTTAAAATTGTTTTTCTAACTCTTGAGAGAGTTCTAATGCGTACAAAACTTATTGTGAATTCACAAACGTTCACAAATTAATTGATGGCACTATGATGTTGTTAATTGTAGGGTAACCAATTGCTAATCAGTGGCAACTATTGACGAATTTATCTTGATTCCAAATCAAATGGGTACGTTACAATAATCAATACTCACTTTCAACAAAAGAATAAGCAATTTTAAATCCTCTAACGTATCTAGACGACTGCGTGCCCCGAAACTCTAACATCAGTTTTGGACCGTTAGACATGATAGGCTTTGGGAGATCGATTCCGCAAAACGTCTGTACTTTTTCCAATCTTCCGTCCACATTAATGAACGCTTGTAGCGAGTCCGTATTCGTACAGCTGAAATGTGAAAAAATAATATTATGTAAAAAATAATAAATGTTATTTGTAACTTCCCAATAATTATTTTATTATGCCGTTAAATGTTCTAGGTATTGTAATTGTTTTAGTGTTGTTGGTCGAGTCCAATGGAGTTGAATTATGTCGCACCTTTAATGCTTTGGATTACCGTTTATTAAAAAAAATAAGAACCCAACGTTCACAATTGGAAAATTAATGTAATCCACGTATATCATCTTATTTTCGATGCAGAGATATAAATCAGTTCACCGTTCACTTGGTGTTAAGTAGTAACCGGAACCCCCGGGCACTATTGACTGTTAGTGTTAAGAAGAGGTGTACTAATTTATTTATAAAGTTACCTTATTAAAATTAAATGTACCTTCCACAAATCTAAGCGGAAATAAAATTACACGACATATACAGAGCGGCATACCCGTTAGACAAAACAGTCAAATTAATAGTTATTTATTTAATGTTACGATTATTTTCATAGATTTCCAGAAATGTGAAAATTTATTTTGTTGATAGCATTTTACTAATAATCTTTAGCTTATTGAATATTAAAACAAACTTCGTCAAAAGTTGAGCAATATTTTGAAAATATAACTTTTACTTACTCCAAAGTGCCATCAGCTGTTTTATATAGAAAAAAGTCCAGGAAAATTAATCTTATTCTTTCTTTTCCTCTCCCGAAGAATTCGTAATGACAATGTGTGTTCGGTGGATATGGAGTGGGATAATGAGGAGAAGTCAGTGTTCCATGCTTCGTCGTATCACTGTTGAATTCTTGGTGGCAGGATGATGCTGAAGCATAAACAAATATTATTATTATAATTACAAAATTGATAAAAAATAACTATAGTTTTTCCTATATGATCATAGTCAAGTGTATATTATCAAAGACAAATATTTCATAACAATTATTCGTGAATACTAGAATTTACGTATTAATAGTCTAATATTGCAAAATTAAAGATTGCCAAGAATCTGTATCCGAATGTTCCACGAGACGCGCATGCGTGGCTGTTTTGTCTATAACGTCAAATGTCAATAATGTAATGTGACAATGTCAGTTGTCTTTTTAATATGTTTTGATGTGCATTGAAAACTGTTGAAAACACGAGGAAAACTGTTTTTAAAATTAAAGTTGTTATTGCACACTTCAGGCCGTAATTTTTGTTATTTTATAAAAAAATCCGTACTTCGCGCAAGTTATGTAAAGTGGTTAAATATAAGGAGATAGAGAATAAAAGTTATTTAATATTAAACAGTGCTTCTTGAAAAAAATGCTTCAAAACCTGTCACAACAGGTCTCGTATCAGATGTTTTGAGTATTCAACATATATTTTTAAGTGTGTCATTGCCTCATTGGCATTATTTACTTAACATAAATATGTACGAAGATTCCATTTAATATCATAATCGCAATGTCCGATTCAACACCGTTTTACGTAGATCGAGCCAAAGGTGGTAGGGCAGCATGTAAATTATGTAAAGGCAACTGTCCTAGTGGTGAACTACGTATGGCCAAACTTGTACCGAGCCCGTATGGCGATAATCAATCTATGAAATCTTGGTATCATGTTCATTGTTTTACTGACGTATTGTTAAAGCAACGCCCTAATACTAAACGAGTTGAATCCATAAACGACATTGGTAACTGGGACAATATTAGTAAGGAAGATCAAGAATTAATACTAAAAAAATTAAACGAAACTGAAAAATTATATGCTGAAAAACACAGTGGGAAATACACAGCGAAATTAATTGAAAACAAATCTTTAGGCTCCATAAAGAAAAATAGTGTTAAAAGTGAGCCAGACACTACTGATAGTGGTAACATTGTAGAAGATAATAAATTTAGTACTTTTATTGAATTGTGTAAAAGAATTGCAAAAGTCGATGCATATACTGAAAAGACTGCTGCTGTTAATTCGTTTTTTACGAAAGGAATAGAGAAAGATAATTTTAAAGGGGATCTTGGTTTGTGGTGTAAGCTACTCTTACCTCAAGTAACCAAAAGAGTTTATAATTTAAAGAGCAAACAATTAGTTAAGCTCTTCTCGAAAATATTCAATATTGATCACGATGATATGTTAACGGATCTAGAACAGGGAGATGTGGCAAATACGATACAGAGATTTTTCTCAACATCAAAGGTAGTGCAACCTGCCTCCTTAAGTTCTCTTACGATCCACAACGTAGAAGATTTCCTAGAAAACTTATCTACATTAACAAAAGAAGAAGAACAAATTTATCACTTCAAAAAAATTGTGAAAAAATGTACATTAGATGACATGAAAATGTTGATAAGGTTAATAAAAGGAGATCTAAGAATTAATGCTGGACCAAAACATATCTTGGAAGGAGTACATCCCGATGCATATAATGTTTTTCAAACTTCAAGAGACCTTAATATGGTTCTTGATCGGGTTTTGTCAAAGAATAATAGTTCTAATGACAAGGGTGTGAGCCACAAAGCTGTTTCAGCAAAACTGACATTAATGACTCCAGTTTTACCTATGTTAGCTGAAGCATGCAAATCAATTGAAATGGCGATGAAAAAATGTCCTAACGGTATGTACTCTGAAATTAAATATGATGGGGAGAGAGTTCAGATACATAAAAAAGGTACAGAATTTAAATACTTTTCTAGAGCATTAAAACCTGTGATGGCACACAAAGTAAGCTTATTTAAGGAACATTTGCCTAAAGCTTTTCCTAAAGGAGAAGATATGATATTAGATGCTGAAGTTTTGATGGTGGATGTGTGTACTGGGAAGCCCTTACCATTTGGTACATTGGGCGTACACAAACAATCTGAATTCAAAGATGCGGAAGTATGTTTGTTTATATTTGATTGTCTCTATTATAATGGAGAAGTATTGATGAATGAACCAATTTGGAAAAGGAAGAAGTTTCTTGAGGAAAATATGATTGAAGTAAAAAATCATGTCATGTTATCTGAATTACAGTTTATTGAGAAGCCATCAGATTTAGCTAAGATGATTGCTGAGGTAAATAAAATAAAAATTCATTGCAAATTGTTTAAAACAACACAATTTTTACTGACAGTAGAGTCTTGTGAGCCTTGGTTAGGTCTCACCACTTTGCCTATTTCTGTTGTGAAGCAGTATTTTGATATGAAGAGTGGGGCAACCATTGTACTGTAAAAACTTAAGACTTGAAAGTCATGTCTCGAGGTGTGTAGGCTGTGTTGGCCATTTAGCACCAGGTGAGCAATGAGCTAATTAACTCTTATATCTAGAAAATTCCTTTTTGTATTTTAATTTTACACAATAATATTCACATTTTATACAATTTACTTTTGTTAATATTCATCCAGATATCTTTTCTAAACACAATAACATATATAATTTCTGTAGTAAAAAAGAAACGCTATGTCAAGACATCATTTGCCAGAAACTGTCTTTTAATTATTCCAGGTTCTACAACTGGGTCTGGAAGGACTGGTACTAAAAGACCGTGAATCTATATATGAGCCGGGAAAACGTCATTGGTTGAAAGTGAAGAAAGATTATCTCTTTGATGGAGCAATGGCTGACACTGCAGATCTTGTTGTACTTGGAGCTTGGTTTGGTAAACATACAGTTTTTCATAATTAACCTCTTGCCATTAACTATCAATTTTTATAAGATAGCATCTACCTAACATCTAAATTTAGTCAAACTACACTGCCAACTCATTTTTGTGTGAATAATAAACATAATTTTTGAATGTTACTTTCTTTAGCCAAATCTGCCGTGTAGTGTCATTTCGTTTCGGTTTCAGGTGCTTTACTGAAAAATAAGACTTAGAACTTCTGTCTCAAGCTGGGCTTCTATGGGCTCCGGTGACCACTTATCACCAGCTGGGCTGTAAGCTCGTTTACCCATCTAAGAAATAAAAAAAATTATGGATGTATTTTAAAAGATAAAATATTTTGATATATCCATTAGGTATATTTGAGATATTCAGGAAACATGTATTTTTCTGGCTGTATTTTTTTATTTCTTGTAAAATTATATAAGACCCCATTGAATTTTTATATATTATTATATATTGTTATTGAATTTTTCAGGTACAGGTAAGAAAGGCGGAATGATGTCAGTATTCTTGATGGGCTGTTTGGATAACTACAGAAATAAGTGGGTAACTGTAACCAAAGTGCATACGGGACATGATGATAGCACACTCGAGAGAATTCAAAAGGAGTTAGGGCCTTTAATGCTGAAGATTTCTCAGGACAGTAATAAAGTCCCGTCATGGTTAGACTGTAAAAAGGGTATGGTGCCGGATTTCGTCGCTTTAGATCCTAAGAAGCAACCAGTTTGGGAAATTACAGGTTAGTGTATTTGTTTTTTGTTTATGGTAACTATTGATTAGTTGGGGCCTTTTGCCATAAACAAAATACATATTGAGGGGTGAAAGCTTATTTAGTTTAAGCTACATTTATCTCTGTAATTAAGGGTCCGTTTTATTTGATATTAGTATCAACAATTCGATGATTTTAATTCAGCCTTAAATTAGTTTACCTCATTCTAATAGCTGAAGAAGTTTAATAGTTTTTTTGTTATGATATTTTTACCAAATATTAAGCTTTAAATACTTTCTGTAAAGTTGCGAAAATGTCGTTTAAAACAATAAAAAAAATTTAAAACAAAAAAAACCCTTCGATATAATAACAGCCTTATCTAACCGTGAGTATCCATGAATGCCGTTAACGCTTTATAGATAGGAGTTATTAATAGAAACTGTAAATAGAGCATTACATGTCCGTGCACGAAGCTGGCCTTAATAAGGTGACCAAACTATACTAATTTACTGAGTTTTGTACTCTTTTTTCGCAAACCATTCTCTTTTCAAATCCTGTACTCTAAAAGTACTCATTTGTATAATTTTATACCTCTCATTTGTATTTCTAAATTATTATTATTTTTTTTCAATTTTATTAATTAAATACTTAAAATTTTATTTTGACAGTGATTTAAATTTGATTTAAAAATAGGTTTTTAAAAATAAATAAAGTTTTTATCGTTTTTTCTTCTTTTTTTTTTCACCGATGAAATACTTTCAAAGTGTTACTCTTTTTGAACAAAAAATAGTTGGTCACCTTACTTAAGTTTCAGCCACTGACAATGTGATTATTTAAATTTCAATATTATATTTCAAATACTAATTGTATGCTGACCTTTATGGAGTTTTAGTATGTGATTAAGATTTTATTATAAGAAAATATTAGGGTCCTTAAAACTGAATTGCCAAAAAAATTTTTTTTTGCTTTGTAATCATAAGTTGTATGGTTTCAGGTACCGAGTTAACAAAAGCAAACCAACACACAGCCGATGGGATATCAGTGAGATTCCCAAGAGTCACAAGGATTCGAACAGACAAAGACTGGCAGTCCGCCACGAACTTGGATGAACTGAAACATTTATATAAAACTTCGAAAGAAACCAGTGACGTCTCATTATTAAACAAATTGGCTGCTTCAGCTTCTGGTATTGAAACAACGAACAAAAAAACGAAGGCTAGTCCGAAGAAACAAAATAAATTGGACAATTTCTTCAGTAAAGAACCAAAACAGAGTCCTTCAAAGAAATCTCCAGATAGTCCCCTAGTAAAGTTAGAAACAAAAGCGTCGAACAAAAATAAACTGAATGGTTCTAATTCGGATTTGAGTTACGATGAGACTGATTCTAAAAGGGAAATCAAAAGAAGGAAAAGACATTTAAATATTTCGGAAGGAACCCTCTCTTCATCTTATGAGGAAACGAATAAGAATAAGAAAAAGAACACCGAAGGAACAAAGAAGTCGGAGGAGACTGAAACGGATGTCAAAAGAGAAATGAAAAGAAAGAAAAGAGATGTAGACAGTTCTCAAGAAACTATTGCAGAGTTAAATGAGACGCCTGCGAAAGTAAAGAGAAAAGACAAAACAGTTAGTGAAAATAAATTATACCCCGAGAACCCTTTGCCGGACGCGTTCAAAGATAAAATATTAAGTTTATATCCCGACTTAATATCTTTTTCGGAGGACGAAAGAAAACATTTTGTTAGGCATTGGATTGCGTACGGAGGTGTTCTTGTGAAATCGATGCGATCTGCGAACGTTGATTTTGTCGTACATAATAACAATTGTATTACGTACAAGGAAATGCAAAGGTTAAAAGAAGAATTGCGTCAAGGCGTAAGGCATGTTACGAAAAATTGGTTAATTAGGTGTATAAATGAGGTTGCACTATGTGATACTACTAAATATGCGGTAACGGTTATACCTCAGAAATGATATTAAGTGATCTTTCAGAATGTATTATTTTTTATCAAATTTCATTGATTGTTTTTATAATTGTGTGTTGTGCCTTTAACAATGATCTGTTAATTTTATATTTGGAAATAAATTATATTCATAGTGCTCGCTTCGTTCATCGTTGTTTTTTATCGTAGTCATTTTTATTACGAGCTTACGGCCCAAAGTTAAAAGGTCTCTGTCGCACGTAGACTTCAGGAGTGTCACAGCGAAGCCATTATTAGTCCGGTCATCGTTCTCGTCGAACCCGTCGCTTGCGACGAAGGGCTCGGCGAGTAAATTAACCCACAGACACAGACCATTGATTTTCTCGCCGTATTTTCTCAGTGGGTCGCGTTTCCGATCCGGTGGTAGATTCTGCGAAGCACGGCTCTTGCTAGGGTTCGTGTTAGCAACGTCATCAGGTTTGAGCCCCGTGAGCTCAGCTCTAGTTAAGGCGACGCTGATATGGTCTCTCTAAACCATCAGCTTAGGTAGGAAAAAAAAGTTCCCTAGTTGGTTTTCTTTGCTATTAATCTGCAATCAATTTGTAGACAAGCAATCAGTAGGTAAGCAGATAAACTGATTTAACGTGATTGCTCATTGCCCAGGTATCCTCGAACCTTGTTTGAAGAAGGGCATGTCATACCGCTCTGGAAACTACAGGAGTTCTTTCCAGTTTTTGGGTCCGTTTTTTTTTGGCATACTTGTTAGGCGCGTTAGCCAGAGCTCGTCAGAGTTTAAACGACTAAAAGCCTCCGTGGTCGAAAAAACAACCCGTGTCTGAAACTTGAATGAGACATTGAGCGCATTGCACATCGTACACTTGACTCCATAGGATGGCGAACTTCGCGGTTCGCGGAATCTGTGTGCTTTGTGCGAGTTTGTTAACGTTCTCGATCGACAAAGAGGTCGACGTGCAACCTAACCCATGCATCAAGCCCGCTGAGTATCTCGTCGGATCTTCTCAGCGGGTCGCGATTCCGATCCGGTAGTAGATTCATTCGCGAAGCAATTGCTCTTGAGTTATTAGGAGTAGGCATGGTCGTTGCGCAACGTAAATGGTTATTGAAACTATCTATAGACAAAATAGCGGTTAGCTAGTTTCGCCGTACTGCAATAACCTGCTAACATCTACTACTCAATCACGTCACCGATCACGAACACAAATCACACAACGTTCGGCAATATTCGTTTTACTTCGTACCGCTCGGTCGGCAGCTATCGCGACACGCAGCGCAAACATCGGTTCGATCGAAATAGACAATCATCATTTTGTCTCTTTCACGCACACGACTGAGATGCATTTGACCTTTGACTTTAGCCCTTAAAGCCCTTAAAATAAGATTTATAAAATTAAATTATGAGTGCAAGCTGAAGTCGAATTTTGTGGCCTTGAACCAGCTATTCACGAATCACGTCTTTAGCGACAAAATGTATTAAAGACTCGGCGCTAAGTTTTAAGTTTAATTGCCAAATTGAATAGTTAAAAATATAAAGTGTATAGTTGTTTTATATAGATTATCCTTAAAGATAAATTACAAATAAAGTCGTAATTACTGAAATATTAATCGCGACGCTAGCTCATTCGTGTGCACATTAGTTTACTGCTAAACAAAACCCGCTATTGCTCGCTACTGAAATAGCGCGTTTCAAAAGCCGCTATTGACATTCGATAGCTAGTTTCGTTTCGCTAACCGAAAATGCCGCTACAACCCACCGCTAATTAGGAGGCGCTCGGGCATTTGATAGCAAATCACACCCTTCCTGGCTAAACCTTGCTCGCCCACCTGTCCTGGTGAAACTGGAAAGGCCTCCGGGCCAACAGTCATCTTTCAAGCATAAAAAATAAATAAATAAAAGTTAACCCAATTTTGTTACTTGGAACAGCGCCCCTAACAGCAAAGGAACCATCCCGTTCCATACAAATATTAGCTAACTTTTACGCTATCGAGAACGCTAAAAAACTCGCACTAAGCACACTGATGCACACGACGCGAATTCAAACTCCCGGAATACCTCCTGTATCGGAACCAGCATAGGTTGTTGGTCGTTGAAATTCCCCAAGCTAGGTTTTTATTCTGTGCTTAGTGTTCATGGACTAAACTAGGTTCATACGTCCTATCGCAATTAGATGAGTAAAAGCGGAAAACTTATTGCCCATTTCATACTTCGACTTTTTATTTACAATTCAATACAACAAATGTTCACGATTGACTTCCACGGTGAAGGAATAACATCGTGTAATAAAAATCAAACCCGCAAAATTATGATTTGCGTAATCACTGGTGGTAGGACCTATTGTGAGTCCGCACGGGTAGGTACCACCATCCCGCCTATTTCCGCCGTGAAGCAGTAATGCGTTTCGGTTTGGAGGGGCGGGGCAGCCGTTGTAACTATACTGAGACCGTAGAACTTATATCTCGAGGTGGGTGGCGCATTTACGTTGTAGATGTCTATGGGCTCCAGTAACCACTTAACATCAGGTGGGCTGTGAGCTCGTCCATCCATTTAAGCAAACAAAAAAAAAAAATTCATACGTATAGTTGTAAGGATAATTGTGTACAAATTCAGCACTTTGTCTTGCTTAGTCGTGCCCACATGGCTTATGTTGCAAGCCAGATTTTGTTTCTTTTTACTTATGTTTTTATGTATCTTTTTAGCTTGTGATATGTATTGTATGCCTAATAAATAAATAAATCTAAATAAAATAAATATCCTAATCGTTTTAATGGTATCTCTACAAAATCGTTAAATGAATAGCAAACATTGAATACTGACCTATTTACACAAATAATTATTATCTAAGTACATAAACCCAACGTTGTATATTAGTGTATAATCTATGGAGCCGACGTGACAATAAGTAAACATTGAAGACGGAGCGCTGTCGTGCCCTATCTTTTCCTTTCCGATTCATTCTCAAAGCACATCGGTGTGACATGTTTCTCAATAGAATCACGTTACAATAACGTCGGTATCCTAATGTGTTGAATAGAGGCTTTATCATCCATTAGTATTACCTACATGTAGGTATACGTGTACTACTAGTATCTTTAAACGTGTCCTATTATACGTCTACAAACATGTAATCTAAAAATTCTGGTATTTATTTATTTTATTTATTTATTTATTTGGGAAACAAACAGTACAATACAAACATTTATAATATTTAAAAAAATATAGCTAAAACAATAACCAAAAATGTTTCCACAATCAAAATCACATATAAGTAGACAGTGAACAAGAAGAGACATTTAGAAATTTAAATTACAAAAAAAACAAAAGCAACACAATACGCACATATCATTTTATACATCAACTATACTACTTATCGGACTAAATCACCTTGTAAAAGTTTTAAAATAGCTTTTCTATATGCTACAAGTGACAAGCAAAAGATGTCAGCATTAGAGAACTTAGCATCATAAAACCTACAAGATCTACGGACAAAAGAGTTAGAAGCATATTTCGTTCGAGCCGTGGACATGTGGAAAGTCTGTTTAGAACGCGCGTATGAGATCACATCTTCTCTTCTTCTATATCGTTCCCTCACTGCTGAGGATCGTGACCACGTGTGACGTTCCTCCACAGTGTTCGATCATGAGTGGCATGGACCGCACGGTACAGACTACCACCAAGTGCTTCCCTTACTAGATCTGACCATCTGGCTGTTTTTCTGCCCACGGCGCGCTTGCTCTCTATGCGACCCGAAATTATGAGCTTCTGTAATTCATGTCTGGAAGACCGCATGATGTGTCCGAAGAAGCTCATAAAACGCTCCCGACAGATAGCAGAGATCCTTTTTCGGACGTTTAGCTCCCTTAGAATGGACTCGTTAGTTCTCATCGCAGTCCACGGTATTCGTAGCATCCTCCGCCACACCCCATTTTCACAGCCCACCTGGTGCTAAGTGGTTACTGGAGCTCATAGACATCTACAACGTAAATGCCGCCACCCACCTTGAGATATGAGTTCTAAGATCTCAAGTATAGTTACAACGGCTACCCCACCCTTCAAACCGAAACGCATTACTGCTTTCTAGCTGTCCATAATAGTAGTAAATATATATTTTCAAAACTTTCTCTATGCTCTCTGGAATTCATTCTACTCTACACTATTTCGTTTTTCAAACAAGTTTTGAAAATTATATTAGCTTGCATCCCTAACTTCGGAACAAATTAAAACATTCTGTATTGCTAGCATTTTAAAACTAGCTAATAATGTTACAGTATGTAAACTGAAGTTAAATTTTTAACGTGTTGCTAGCTAGGAATACCCGTAGCTACTATCTGAACTCGCCTTATCTCGCATATCTACAGGGTGTATTAAAATTAATTCTTGGAAATGAAAAGTTTTTTTTTGTAGTGCGCTTTTTTTTTTTTTTATTGCTTAGATGGGTGGACGAGCTCACAGCCCACCTGGTGTTAAGTGGTTACTGGAGCCCATATACATCCACAACGTAAATGTGCCACCCACCTTGAGATACAAGTTTTAAGGTCTCAAGTATAGTTACAACGGCTGCCCCACCCTTTAAACCGAAACGCATTACTGCTTCACGGCAGAAATAGGCAGGGTGGTGGTACCCACCCGCGCGGACTCACAAGAGGTCCTACCACCAGTTTTAATTAAAACTTCGAATATTTGGTTTACATACAAATAATGCAAATTTTGTAAGGATGTGTGTATCTAATACTCCTTTACGAACTTCCACGATGAATGTTTAACATAATTTTATAAAAACAAATTTTCTCAACCGACAAAATTTTTGTATTTACAGATGATATTCTAAAGCCGCACGTACCACGATCCTGTACATGCTGCCGTGATTTACATACGTAATTGAGGACTTGCGCAAAAACGTCAATTACCGAATATGTATCTGTATTCTGTATTCGTGCTTAAAACAATAGGAATAAGGCGTTTAGCTGTCAACTGTAGCTGCAGCATTGCTTGTGACACTTGTGACACGGATCATTGGTTGTTCCTTCTAAGACAAAGTCCCAGGCTTAGTCCCAAAGTCCCAGAACTAGTAGGTATACTTATGTGGAAAACTGGATACAACTACACCTACACATAACTACATGCAGCTACCACCAGCTACTATAGATACTCCCGTGGGCTGTAAAATACCTTCTGGACTCAGTTAGTCTGATCATCTACATTTTTACCTAAATAACACTGTTAACTTAGGGAATATAAATAAATGCACATTGAATTTCGACCCAATTGATATGGTCTATCGAATAGAATACATTAAATATATTGTCTTGTGATTTAGATTGGTCCGGGGCAATGATAGG